CTTTTAAAAATTAAACAAAAACAAAGCACGGTGATGGTTGGCAGCTCCCCATGCCCCACTCCCATATGCACGTTATAGGATAATGGGAAAGCAAGGGAAAGCAAGAAAAAAATTCCAAACAAATAAAGAAATGGGAAAACCAGTAAATGACAAAACAACACTTTTTCAGGGTTAGATAGGGATGATCTTGACTGAATCATTCAAACATAAAAGAACGTGAAAGATATGTACGACTCGTATTCCTCTATATCACCAAAAGATACGCAATTTGTATGTAAGCATCAAAAAGGTTGAAGGAGATAAGAGATCAAGCATCTCCGTCGTATCTTTGGTTATTATAATATTATCGAGTCACGTTTTCTTCATCGTCTGATTGCAAAAAGTTTTAGGTTGCGTTGTTTATATAATTTTTTTTATACTTTTTAAACACTTCATATTAATTTTTGCGTTGTTTATATAATTTTTTTTATACTTTTTAAACACTTCATATTAATTTTTATTTTTTGATCATTTATGATTCATTTGAATTAATAGTCGAAAATTAAGAAGCATGTGTGAGAGGTAAACAGAAGTGTGTAGATAACATATCTAATATTTTAACTATTTTTTATGTTACGTACCAATATGTGGCTTAACAATTAGGTCATGCCTAAAGATCTAATGTATCCATACAACAATTAGATTGCATAAAATTTATATCACTGAGTAAGACATTATTGTAGCCAAACTCCAAAGATCCATTCATTGTTAAATTTATTTTCAAAATCTGAGAAAAGTGCATGCATTCATTTATTCTACATTTTATATCAAATCCAACAACGAATGACAATTCATTTTTTGATCAACATGTGATGAAGACAAGATTTCTGTATAATTATTCTTATCATTTTGATAATTGAATATAATTATGATTATTTGGTTGTAAAGTTCCAATACCATCTCCTTACATGGATGGTATTTTGGAGCATAAATTAGGAGATGCCTTGTTTTACAAAATTGTTTTCAAGTTTTTCCCCACTGAAGAGAGTGGGTGAATGACAGAAGGTGCATGTGTTTTTGTATGACAGACCATGTGAAAAAGTGCTCGCTCACCCACTACTCAATGTCTAGAGAAATTTTTCAGTGTGATCGTCACACGGAATGGTACACTACGTGTCGTTATATAAATGGTGAGATATGTGTGTTAAAAAGTTAATAACTTAAAAAATAAAATTTCCCACCACTTACATAAAAACACGTGATGTACCACTCGTTTTCCCGTTATAATTAAAAATTTCTTCAATGTCTGCACTACTACTTTTGTGATGCCATATAGTGTTTAAGTTGAGTACAAACTTTATGGATCTCCTAAAACAGTCTTCAATGCAAATTGTCTATTTGGGTTGGCCTGCCGTCAGTTTAGGTTTATACTTAAAAATACAAAGTATTTTGGTGATGAGGAGCACGGTGACGGTATACGAATGCTAATCATGTTCAATCTTTTCAGCTCAAAGCTGGCTGCTGTCGACATTTTATGATATCGACAGTTTAAGTCGAAACTTCTCCTTTTATCTTTTCGGCTTTTTCACCATCCTGTAATATTGTATAATAATTAGATTAAAAATTGTTTAAAGGTTTCTTAGGAAATAGACGATTTAAATTATCGTGCAACTATACATAATGAAAATAAGAGTCGAGAACGTTTAAATAAGAAGATTCTAAATCAAATACTTGCTAATTATTAAGTATGAACGCTATGATATGCATGTGCAATAGATTTAGTGGTTGAGCATCGTATGAAGTAAATAAAAAAACTATTATATTAATCTAGTCATATCATTCTATACAATGTTAAAAGAGACTTCAAATCCGAGTTTTTCTTTTCAGTGTTAGACACATAAAGTAGCTAGGTATATATTGTTCTAGCTGTACTGGCAACTTATATGCCGAGGGTGATTTCATGTATAGGAGTGACAAAGACCAAAAGCCATCCAATTTGATAATTATAGTCAATACGATCATACGATCATACGATTCATTGGTGACAAAGTTGATTCATTGGTGACAAAGTTGAAAAATTGTGAGTTGTGTGATCATCCTAATGACCATGACTCTGTTGCCATCTATCTCTCAAATTGTTGCGCATTATTATTTCAGTGTGCATTTGATTATAAAACTCACTTCTATTAGACTTCAATTTTTCTGATTTAGTGTGTGAGTTTGATTCCTAAATGTTCGCGTTCATTGTAGGAGAGATTTTTTAATGTGCATTTGAAATTGCTTTGAAAGCCTTTTAGTCATCTTAAAAGCATTTTCAAATAAGCTTCTTATATTGTGGTGTTCTAAGAAGCATCCTATTGTGTCCCGCTCTAGTGCTGAATCGGAGTACCGCTCTCTTGAGCATACCTGTCCCAAGACAACTTGGTTTTGCTTTTTGCTTAGTGAGCTTGGTGTTCATCTATCTTTCCATGTACTCTTACATTGTGATAACCTGCGTGCCACCTATTTAGCGACTACTCTTGTTCATAATGCTCATACTCGGCATATTGAACTTGATTACCACTTTGTCTGTGTAAAGGTGGCCCCTGATAATCGAAGGAAATGTGACATCTCCTATGTTGATTAACCATCTTCTCACCAAAGCTCCATCAGCCTTGTCATCATCAGCTTTGTTTCAAACTCGTTCGATCAGACTCGTCTAGTTTTCCAAGGTGGTGGCAGCAGAGGTGGTGATGGTGTTAGATTGGAGAAACTTAACCCCGAATCGTCTTTGTAATTATAGTATATATTATAGGAATGTTCCAGTTGTAACTACTTTAGGGTTCTTACCTAAATAGAACTAAGGCCATCTCTAACCGAGGGCTGGCCAAACGGCTCGTTTTAGCCATCTGGCCCTCCAAGATTCTCCATGATATTAATATTTTAATGAACAGTACATTGCCATATTTGCCTCCATCTCCAACCGAGGACCAAAGGGCCAGAGGGCTCGTTTTAGCCTTGTCACAAAAAACCATATCCAACCGAGGGCCAAAGGGCCATAGGGCCAAACATAATTTATTATTTAAAAACTACAACTAAAATGTTGTTTAAGTTTCATGTTGTATAATTTTTATGTTGGTTAATGTTATTTAATGTTGTTTCATATTGTTTAATGTTGTTTCATGTTACTTAATTTAATTTAATGTTGTATAATGGCTTAGGAAGTTATAGGAAAAAAATAGAATTTAAAAAAAATATGAAACAAATTTTGTCAAATAGAAGTTATAGGAAAAAAAATGGAATTTAAAAAAAAATATGAAACAAATTTTGTGAAATAGAAGTTATAGGAAAAAAATGGAATTTAAAAAACAATATGAAATAAATTTTGTGAAATAGAAGTTATAGGAAAAAAAGAATATGAAACAAATTTTGTGAAATAGAAGTTATAGGAAAAAAATGGAATTTAAAAAAAAATATGAACCAAATTTTGTGAAATAGAAGTTATAGGAAAAAAATAGAAGTTATATGAAAAATTTTGTAAATAAAAAAAAAAATAATAATGTAAAAAAAAAATCATGTCGGTTATAATCGACAGGAATAACAAAACTTAAAAAAAAAAAATAGCCAGCCAGCATCCAGCCCTTTGGCCCTTTGAAATTCCGTGGGGCCCTTCCAGATTCTCGAGCCCTCTGGCCTAGCTCTCGGTTGGAGACGGTTTTAGGGCTATTTTCGGCCCTCTGGACCATTCGGTTGGAGATGGCCTAATATAACCCTATATATTGTCAAATCCTACAGTCATATTCCTATAAGTTAAAATTTCTCTATAAAATAGATAAAAGGACTAGAGATACTCTAAGTGGTCATTTGCTAGTAGATAAAATAGGTATTACACACTCTTTTTTTTTTTTTTTTGAACAAATTATATTATCTACATTAAGGGGGTGGAGGAGTAGGCTAGAAATAATATGGTTCAAATTTGCATTTGACGAGAATCAAATATAAGATCTCTCACTTACAAGTGAAAAGAAATATCGGTAGACCGTAGTACTAAGTGGCAGGAATTACACATACTTAAATGCTCTTAAAAATGGGCATATGTTATTATGTCAACTTTGGGTGCCGATCACCACTATTTGTCATCATTGAAAACACCTTCAAGACTTTAAATACTAATTGTACTTTATTTTGCAGCTGATTATACTTAAAGCACAACATAATTTTTTATTTTTTTTTAAAAGAACACATCAATCCCACACTAGCCCTTACTGTTACGCAATTGTCCTATTTTTTCACCCGTCTTATGTTGACATCCGTTATGAATTTTTTTGTTGATACAAGTATAAAGGGTTGGGGAGAATCAAACCTTTCCCATCACCTGTGAAGTTTCTAAAAGAATTATAATTTCCCCACCCACCATTATTCCTTTGGCATTCCTTATTATGCGACTACAACGACTTTAAGAATAAACACTTCATAAAGCAATTTATGAACTATCTATTACCTTGCACACTTTTCACTTTTTTTCGAGTCACATTGAGTAAACTAAAAGAAAATCAATAAACAGAATTAAGAAGGTGCATTCGAAAACTCTACAAGAGTTGATCCTTTTAAACTTCCACTTACAATATCAATAACTAGAATTGAAAGAAGGTGCATTCGAAAAACTCTATGGAAGTCAAACCTACTAAACTTTCCACTTACAAATACTGAAGAATACCACTAAACCATCACAATAGTTTTTTTTGGGGAAAATTGGGGAACTTTAACGAAAAGCTCCCGGTACTGTTCACTTTAACGAAAAACCACATTTTTACACTAAAAAGTCAATCCTGATACTATTCATTTTACCCTTTATTTTGTCCTTATCGTTAAAACTCAAAGTTTTCAAGTCATTTTTATTAGTTTTACTGAAAAATTGTTGATTTGGATACGTTGGCACGGGCCCTTTTCCAAAGCTAGGGCTTTATTAAAGGGCCGGTAAATAAAGCATTCTTTGATGGTATAGGCCCCAAAGCTTCTCATCCATTCATCCCCACAAAGCGATAACAGAAGAAAACTCTTGATATACAAACTTGAACGCCCATTACTACTGGTCCCTCCTCTCCCTCTCCCTCTCTCTCTCCCGCCACAGCCCGTACCTACGAGCTTCCCTCCAATGGCTTCCTCATCATTACTCACGCCCGCGCCTCTGTCCGTACAAGTTCACCGGTGCTCCTCTTCACATTCTCACTCCCACCAGGTTCCTTCCTGATACAATTCTTCTTTAATCTCCGTATATAGAAGCTAATGAAGCTCTGAGAAAATGTAGTACAAAAGATACATGAAAACTGACTTCTGAGTGTTTTTGGTAATTTTTGTTGTTTTTGGTAGTTTCTCTGTCAATATTTGATGACAGTTTGTGGGTTTTCTTTTTCTGTAATATTCTGAGTAGGTGCTTTGCTGCATTGGTTTAACAACGTCATTTCTCAAGAAATGGGATGTTGCGGGGATGTTGTGGAGGCCAAAGCCGTTCGGTTCGAACAATCATACGGATTGGAAGAAAAGGTAATTACTTTTTTCTTCTGGCTTTGAGTAATGATTTTCCTTTTCCTTTGGTTTTCCATCATTCCATTTCCATTTCCATTAGAACTTGCCATTACAAAACCTTCTTGCAAAGGATGTCCAATAATTTGTAGCACTTATGCGAAGATGTTCTAATTTTTCATTGTGGGACATTTGTGAGATGATAATTGATTTTACAATGTGGGACATTTGCAAGATGTTGATAATTGATAACCCGCCACACTTTGATATCTGATGTCCTCATCGTCACCACTGTAGAGATACCGGTTTAATAACCTGATATTAGCCCCTTCCTATCTTTGTGGTAGCTCTGGCATGTCTTTACAAGTAACAAAAATGGGGAAGAAAAAAAAAATCTGCCCTATCCCAAACCAAATATAATGGTCCTATGATACAACACCTGCAAGGAAAGGGTACTAAAGAGCTCATACTCTCTTTCTCTCTCTCACTTCAGAAATATGACACTGATGTGATATCTTTTAGGGGATCACTAGGTGGGTATGACAGTGTTCTGAAGGGAAGGAGCTTACATACATCCCCATTTTCGTACTCTATCTACTCTTGGTCTACTATTATTATATTAAGATAGAAAAAAAAAAAAAAAAAACCCAAGAGTTGTCATTTAGTTAGTTAAAATAATGATTCTTGCCTGTTGTTTTCTATTTTATATTCTTTATTGTTGTTTTTCAGTTGGAAAAAGTTGATTAGTATGGTCAGTTAAAGCCGTTAATAAATAATTGTTTGCCTTTTTATAAAGAAAGACAAAGAAAATCAAGAATGGTCATTTATTCATGTTAAGTATCAGAAAAGAAAAAGAGGATCAGGAATGGTCATCTAGCTAGAGGGACTCTGGAGGACTACTTTTACAAGTGTGTTCTATTTTCGGTTTTTTGGATTTTTCCCTTTTCTTTTCTCTTCAAATGTTATGTTGTGTGTTATTGGTTTATTGTTGGAAAGTTCATTTTCGTAGTCTATGTCTCTATATTCTAACATGTTTTGTTCCATTTTATGGTTCCCCTGTCCATGAATCTGGGTGATGGAGTTTACAATACTCAATAGTAAACTTGTGTGTTTCGATCTAATAAAACAGGAGAACTTTGATCTGTGTAGCAAATCAAGATGCTGAAGAAGCATTCAAAAAGACTGTAGAAGTGGATAGGCTGATAGACAAACTGAGGGATTCAAATCCAATTGAAGTACGTAGATGTCTGATTGACTTACTTCCACCAATTATTTCCTTTTTAGCAGCGAATTAAACTGATTTGGATTTGTTTACTTGATGTTGTCCTGTCTCTGGTAATGAGACTATAAACTAGTTACAGAAGTTATTCTATCATCATCTTAAGTAATACTAGTAGTAAAGAGTATTACTTTATCTGAAAATTTGAAGAGACATGGGCTGAGACCAAGTTAATATTATAATTTTAAATGCACAAATGGCAGTAGTAAGAACAGGTCTTTGTTTCAATTTGTTTCAAATTTTTAAGATTTGTCAGATAAGACGGTAAAGGCAATTCTTTCAATAGGCCTTTTCTGGTAGTGCCTGTGAAGGACTAGGGTATGTAATTAATGAATTGTTTATATATGATTATGATACGAAAAAAGTAATACCTGTGAATTCTAAAATATTTGAATTTCTTTGCAATAGAGTTTCTAGTTTTAATTTGATGTATGATAATATAAAGTTTCAATCATATGGAGCATGTGGGGGAAAGGGGGTTTTGGGATATGAGTTGTTTGATTAACTATGGATTTCTTTACTGCAGCTTTCATTGACTTCCACCCGTAAAGTTATCACTGAAATTCTTATTGCTGGTTATGATTTGTGAACAGCTTCAGAAGCTTGTTGTTCAAAATGTACTGGCTTTTAATGAGGGTTTTTGGATACGGCTTGCGGCAAGAACTGATACCTGTAAATCGGAGGATGATAAAGCACGGTTTTGAACTTGGTTAATTCTATTATTTTTTATGATATTTTTGTTTTTTGTCTGCCTCCTTTTCGAGTTTGTGAAAGAAGGCTTAATCTTTTCCGTTCTTTCAGAAAGACTACGAGGAGTTGGCAATATCTATTATGAGCATAGTGGATCGCCTTGTCCATAAGACTAATGTATCTCTCTCTCTCTCTCTCTCTCTCTCTCTCTCTCTCTCTCTCTCTCTCTCTCTCTACACCCCATAATTCAAGGGGGATTATTCTTGTTTTTGGTTCATGTTAAATTGTATTCCCGAGTGTTTCAAGTACAATACAAGTTTACATTCTAGTTTTCCTTTCCTTGTAGGAAAAGATAGATTCAGCTACTGATGTCCTCAAAGGGGTTCTGAAACCTGTAGTGGATGATGTAGAAGAAATTCGATGGCCCCCTAGAGATCCTGAAGCTCTTAAGTTAATGGAGAAAGTGAGTCTTTCTTTCTTCCGTTTTGTTTTAATTTATTGCAGTGTTTTTCTTTTGGGTCGGTACTCACTGTTGAATATATGCAATTTGGTTGGCAGAATTTGAATTTGTATTATTTTTTCATCCTTTTGTGTACCTTTGGAGTAAGTTTTTTTATCAACTTATTTTAGCTTTATTGTTACTTGCTTCTCTTGCATTACTGCTTTGGTTTGATAATGATTGTACAGATGTTTACACTTTTGCCATATGTAGAAGATGTTTTTGAGAACTAAACAAGCCTTCCTGCCTGTTTAAATTTGTCGTCTGCATTTTCTGAAATTGCTAATGTTAGGCCATTGATTTAGTTTCAAATCATGTTTCATCAATTCTATTGTGAATATAAAAAAGGCACGTGGGGTTGCATCTTGATATAAAAATCTTTGGCATCTCCATTTCACCTGGAATCAATTAGTTTCATTTTGTGCTGCAACTCTAACATGGTATTCCATGTCAAATTTTATTGGATTAATAAAATTGATCTACGTCTTTGGCTCTCTCTAGTCACACGTGAGGGGGCGTGTTGAAAATCGTAACCACCCCCGCCCCCCACCCCGCATTAGGTGTCTTAAACATCAATATGCAAAGTTGTGGATATCTCCACCGGTACCAAATTGGTTGGGAATTCAATGCTCCAACAAAAACAAATTGTAATTTGAAGTTGTTTTTTTTTTCTCTTCATTATATTGTTTGTTCAATTTGTTCATCTTTTTCCTTTTTGATCATCAGGAAATATTCCACAGGGAGCAAGAAGGGCAACTAGATGAAGGCTTTCTTGCAGAAGTTAATGCACAACTACGACAAGTGAGTATGTTTTAATACTTTAATTGCTACTGCCTGAGTATACTCTTCTTCAAACCGTAGGATCTTTCATCCTTGGAGTAGTAATGAGCTAGTATGTTCTCACCTTGCCCTCGAATTGTAGTTTCTTGACAATTTGGATTGTGGGTTTTTGCTTGCATTTTTATATTGCATAAGAAGTTATCTTCAGTATTTTCATACACATATTCTTCTTCTTCATCCGTTTTAACTTAAGTGATGCTACTAGAATATACTCAGCTCCACAGTGTTGTCCTTGATATCTTGTTTTCATGAACAATCTCTTCCATTTGATGCTTTAGACATGCTAATTTATAAAGTTCCATACAAAACTTCAGAATTCAAATTCATACCTATTTTGGAATTCTGCTTGGATGCTATGATTTTTTTTTTCTTGGTCATTTCATATATGATTCAATTTGTGATGTATTTTGTTAGTTATTTTCAGGCGAAAGGAGATGGGGATAAGCCAGGGTTTGAGGCTATGTTACAAAAGGTTTTGCAGCTCTATGCTTCTACTGTTCTATCTAAACGTAGCTATGCAAAGAAAGGTAATTACAATGGCCACATCGCCTTTGCACATGATATCATTTGCTGGATGCATAAAACCAAATAATATGTGTCATCTCATAAACATGCATTTTCAGTAGTATAATTTTTGGGTCTCTGTTTCCAATCCTATGCACGTTGTCCAAACAAAAAGAAAAGGAGGAGGGGGGAAGAGGGAAGGCTTAGAGCCGCCCCCGGGGGGGGACACTTTTGCAAAGGTGGCAAACCAAATTTTGCTATACATGATAGAACAATGTTTATATTTTTAATACCTTGCATTATGTACTGTGCTTGTTTTATCTCAGAGTTCGGATTTCTGAATAACAGTACTATTTGCAGGGGATGAAATTCTGAAGCCCGAGAAGCTTCTTGAAACCATAATCAAAGGTGTCTGCCATCATTTATAAAAGAAAAATTGTCATTATAATCTAAATTATCTCGCAGTGTATATAGTTGTTGAAAGCTTACTGGTTCTTAAGAAAGAGATTGTTCTCCTAACCTTCAGTGTTTACCATTGACTAGTATGTTTTCTGCAGTGGTAGTTACTTTATCTTTATGAATTTGTTGCATTATAAATTGATGGTGTTTCCTTGGCCTTGGAGAATCTGGTGTCTCTAGCTGTTGTCGTCTAAAGGAATATATTTAGGGATTTGCAACATATTTGTGACTCTAGTATGTTGAAGGAATATCCTGAATGTGGGATCATAATGTTGAAAGAAGTGATTGAGAATCCCGTATAATAGAGACATATAGGGCTTCAGTTAGGTTTCAAGGCCATTGAGGGCACCCAACGTTTGTTTTACCCTAATCATCTTACAAGGGTAATTGGAAGAATTAGCTGTTAGAGTTTTTAGTATTTGTGCTGGAATTTTGTCATCAATTATTTATACAATCGGTTGTCAGCTTAACTTATATATGCCTCAGAGCTGTGAACATGACTTTCTCTGTGCATTTTGATCATTTAAACTAAGCATGGGGAGGTTGGTTGACCTTTCTGTTAAATTTATAAACAGTTAACTCAGAAACTCTACTTATTTTGATCTCATGTCTGGTAGATCTGTCTCATTCATGGACATTTCATTTGTTGCAGCTCCTGAGGAAGAATGGAACAAGCTGCTGATCAATGGATTGACAATTGGCAAAGGGGAAGTTTCTCCGCAGGAACTCTATGCTGTCATTAAGAAAAGGGTTGAGCGGACTCTGATCCGAACAGTGAGAAACAACCTTGGTCTTTGGATAACCTGTCAACGTTTCAATTTCTATTATCCAGATGTTGATTGTTTTGCTTTTTGGTTCTTTTCTCTTCGTCAGGAGGGTGGTTCATACCAGCAGCGTATTCTTACGGAGTATTTGAATGGAATCCAATCCAGAGCGGAGCAAATTGTCCAAGTACTTCAGGGCAATCTGTAGTAGTACATGTTCATGATTTGAAAATATGAACTTGAAGATTGGGCATCACAAGGGATTACCGGTATGCTACATTCCCAAAGTTAAGACGAACGATTAAGTTAGATGTGAATACCATGTCAGGTAATGATCTAATGCATACATAATGGTCACAATACTTGTTCTACTAAGTATCTTTCTATGTTAAAGAAATTTTATCCAATTTAGCACTTTTTCTGTCTGGCAAGAATCCAATGAATACAATTACGAATGCTTTTATCATGAAATTTAACAGAATCAGACGGTAGATATGGTGCAATATATAATATCAACATATGTCCAGTTTAAAAATCTTTCTTTTTTACAATTTTGGAATCATCAAATTAGACCAAGTGCACTTGGAAAATACTCACTTTGTTGTCCAATTACACATACGGCTTACAAGTAATTTTCAAACCATTCACATTTTAAAATAATTAGAAACATCATGTCTTGACTTAAAAAGACTCCCACATTTAGGATCGCTATCAATATAAGATTGGTACAGTTTATAACATGAGAAGCTATGTTGTTCAAGTAGCAGATGAATTCTCAGATTGGTACAGTTGATAACATGAGAAGCTATGTTGTTCAAGTAGCAGATAAATTCTCAGATTGGTACCGTTTATAACATGAGAAGCTATGTTGTTCAAGTAGCAGATAAATTCTGAGATTGTTGTTATTTGCCCACAACCAGCACACTTGATCTTAGTCCATACCTTCAAATCTTTATAGGTTGTGTTGAAGCATAAAAAAGCAATAGGCCCAGACGATATACCAATCGAAGTGTGGAAACTTTTGGGAGAGACAGGTATAACATGGCTCACTGACCTTTTCAATAGGATTTTGAAAACGAAGAAGATGCCAAATGAGTGGCGAACGAGCACTTTGGTGCCTATCTACAAGAATAAGGGCGACGTACAAAATTGCATGAACTATAGGGGTATTAAGCTAATGAGTCATACAATGAAGCTCTGGGAGAGAGTCATTGAGCATAGATTGAGGCAAGAGACACGGGTTTCGGACAACCAATTCGGGTTCATGCCAGGGCGCTCAACCATGGAGGCAATCTATCTCTTACGAAGATTGATGGAAAGATATAGAGATGGGAAAAAGGATTTACACATGGTCTTTATAGATTTGGAAAAAGCGTATGATAGGGTCCCAAGAGACATTCTTTGGAGGATTTTAGAGAAGAAAGGAGTACGAGTAGCATATATCCAAGCTATAAAGGATATGTATGAAGGAGCAAAGACTGCCGTAAGAACTCATGAAGGACAAACCGAAAGCTTTCCCATAACTGTAGGATTACATCAAGGCTCATCCTTAAGTCCTTACCTTTTTGCGTTGGTAATGGATGAGTTAACAGGACATATTCAAGATGATATTCCTTGGTGTATGCTTTTCGCAGACGATATAGTGTTGATAGATGAAACTCAGGAAGGGGTAAATGCAAAGCTTAACCTTTGGAGAGAAGTGTTGGAATCTAAAGGTCTTCGCCTAAGCCGATCAAAGACAGAATATATGGAGTGCAAGTTCAGTGCAAATGGAGGCCAAAACGAGTTAGGGGTGAGGATCGGAGATCAAGAAATACCAAAGAGCGACCGTTTTTCGTTACCTAGGATCTATCTTGCAAAAGAACGGAGAATTAAATGGAGATCTCAACCATAGAATACAAGCTGGATGGATGAAGTGGAAGAGTGCATCCGGCGTGTTATGTGACCGCCGTATGCCACTGAAGCTCAAGGGAAAATTTTATAGGACGGCAATAAGGTCGGCGATGCTGTATGGCACAGAATGTTGGGCGGTGAAACATCAACACGTACACAAAATGGGTGTAGCGGAGATGAGGATGCTTCGTTGGATGTGTGTGGGCACACGAGAAAGGATAAGATTAGGAATGAGGATATCCGGGGTAAAGTAGGAGTAGCCGAAATTGAAGGAAAGATGAGAGAAAATCGGTTACGGTGGTTTGGACATGTGCAAAGAAGGCCTACTGACGCTCCGATTAGAAGATGCGACTATGGGACAGAGGTTCAGGGCCGAAGGGGTAGAGGAAGACCTAGGAAAACTTTGGAAGAGACTCTAAGAAAAGACTTAGAGTACTTGGATCTAACGAAGGACATGACACAGGATCGAGCACAATGGCGTTCTAAGATTCATATAGCCGATCCCACTCAGTGACTTAGATTTTCCAAGTCTCCAACCGAGAAGTTTTCCTCACTCGGAAAATTAAGGGAACACTACCCCAACCTACATGCTCCACTTAGAAAGCTTCAACATACAAGCTTCAACAAAAGAAAATTCAAAGAACTTAGCGAATAAGGCTTTGGTGTTTTTAACACAGTACGTTGAAATGAAGGAAAGCTTATTTATTGATATCCCCAATAAGCTACAAATATGTACATATACATGAGTCAAAATAAACACACAAGAGGGAGCCTTCACAAAGGTTGCTTAGGAGAAGTCTCAGCAGTCGATAGAGCCCCAGAAAGAGAAGGCACCGGAGGGGGATCATTTGGAGCCTCAGTACTGGACAGAACCCTAGAAGGAGGAGGCATCAGAGGTTGATCATTTGGAGCTTCATTACGCGGTACAGCTCCAGAAGACGAAGGCAATAAATGCCTTTGGAACAAACCCACAAATCTCTGATGATCAAGTAAAACCTGACCATCAGTTTCCTTCATCTGGTCAAGCTTCCTCTTCATGTTTGTAGCATAATCATGTGCGAGCCGGTGCAACTGTTTATTCTCATGCTTGAGCCCTCTAATCTCCTGTTTGAGACTCATCACTTCAGCCGCCAATGATTCAACTTGGCGGGTTCGAGCAAATAGGCGTTGGGCCATATTAGACACAGAACCTGCACACTGAACACTGAGAGCCAGCGAATCCTTAACAGCTAACTCATCAGACCGTTTGGAAAGTAGTCTGTTATATTTGGGAGTGAGAAGGTTCCTGGACACCACCGCAGCGGTCATATCATTCTTCATCACGGAATCCCCAACGGTAAGAGGACCAGTAGGGGAGACGAAGGATGGGCGCCATATGTTGTCTGGAGAAGGCGGGGCTGCCTCTTCAACAAGGTTCAAGTCAAAACGACGGTCGGAGGGGCCAGACATTTTCAAAGGTGTTGAAGAGAGAAGAGGTCGGACAAATCAAGATCTTAGAAGTGCAAGAATGAAGCTTCTACTGGTGGAGATTCAAGTGTGCTTTGGAACTTAATGCCAGCCCCTATAAAAATCTGCACTCGACGGAGCTTCAGAAATCGAAGAGGCGCCTGCTCAGAGAAATCGAAGAGGCGTTTGCTTTCTCAAAAGCTGGGCTGCTTAGAGATCACGAGGGTTGATCTCAGAAATCGAAGAGGCGTTTGCTTTCTCAAAAGTTGGGCTGCTCAAAGACCACGAAGGCCGATCTCAGAAATCGAAGAGGCGCTCGCTTTCTCAAAAGCTGGGCTACCCAGAGACCACGAGGGCCGATCTCAGAAATCGAAGAGGCACCTACTTTTCCAGCCTTGTCAGCACCTGTCACACGCACACTCAGCTTTGCGGAAATTATGGGCATTCTGTCGAAGACTTCTGGGGAAGTAGAAAAAACACATGAATCTTACTGTTCAATCACCCACTTCCCACACGCAACAATAGCTCATGGGTACCACAGATAACTTTGCCAAAGTTCTCTGCCAAAGTTGAGCACGTGAAGCTTGCAGCTCCCACTACATCGCTCTGACCAAGAAGGGTAAAAGAATAGCAAAGAAACAGCACTAACAAAGTTTAGACCCATAAATTTTGAAGGTCTAGCTACCATATTATTACCCACAAGGGTAAAGGAACAGTACCACTGCTGGATAATTGGAAAGTCCTGTGTGTCAACCTCTGTGCTTCGTGGCAAGGTAGACTAGCAAACATGCCCAACCTTTACTCACATTCGAGAAAACACTCCCAATAAGATTGCTTGCTCCAAAATCGAAGAGGCACCGTCCTCCGAATCTCGAGAGCCAGACTCCCAACATGACTACTTTCTTAAAAATCGAAGAGAGGGTAAAGGAACAGTACCATTGCTGGATAATTGGAAAGTCCCTGTGTGTCAACCTCTGTGCTTCGTGGCAAGGTAGACTAGCAAACATGCCCAACCTTTACTCACATTCGAGAAAACACTCCCAACAAGATTGCTTGCTCCAAAATCGAAGAGGCACCGCCCTCCGAATCTCGAGAGCCAGACTCCCAACATGATTACTTTCTCAAAAATCGAAGAGACACTGCTCCCCGAATCTTCGAGAGCCAGACCCCCAGCATGATTGCTTTCTCAAAAATCGATGAGGCATCGTTCTCCGAATCAATCGAAGAGGCGCTCGCTTTCTCAAAAGCTGGGCTGCTCAGAGACCACGAGGGCCGATCTCAGAAATCGAAGAGGCACCTACTTTTCTAGCCTTGTCAGCACCTGTCACACGCACACTCAGCTTTGCAGAAATTATGGGCATTCTGTCGAAGACTTCTGGTGAAGTAGAAAGCACATGAATCTTACTGTTCAATCACCCACTTCCCACACGCAACAATAGCTCATGGGTACCACAGATAACTTTGCCAAAGTTCTCTGCCAAAGTTGAGCACGTGAAGCTTGCAGCTCCCACTACATCGCTCTGACCAAGAAAGGTAAAAGAATAGCAAAGAAACAGCACTAACAAAGTTTAGACACATAAATTTTGAAGGTCTAGCTACCATATTATTACCCACAAGGGTAAAGGAACAGTACCACTGCTGGATAATTGGAAAGTCCCTGTGTGTCAACCTCTGTGCTTCGTGGCAAGGTAGACTAGCAAACATGCCCAACCTTTACTCACATTCGAGAAAACACTCCCAACAAGATTGCTTGCTCCAAAATCGAAGAGGCACCGTCCTCCGAATCTCGAGAGCCAGACTCCCAACATGACTACTTTCTCAAAATCGAAGAGAGGGTAAAGGAACAGTACCATTGCTGGATAATTGGAAAGTCCCTGTGTGTCAACCTTTGTGCTTCGTGGCAAGGTAGACTAGCAAACATGCCCAACCTTTACTCACATTCGAGACAAACACTCCCAACAAGATTGCTTGCTCCAAAATCGAAGAGGCACCGCCCTCCGAATCTCGAGAGCCAGACTCCCAACATGATTACTTCCTCAAAAATCGAAGAGACACTGCTCTCCGAATCTCGAGAGCCAGACCCCCA